AATTTAGGGCAGTATTACTAACTATAGTATTGCTTTAGAGGAGTTTAAATCTTATAGTTACCTACTTAAGGTATTAGGTTATCCTATAAGATAGCTAGGCCTATACTATAGGATATACTAATATTTTAAAAGTTCCTCTGCCTAGTAGTACTATTACTTACTTAAGCTTTAAAGGCTAGTAAAGTACTCTAAGTTTTTATAGTCTATAAATATTATAAATAGCTTATAAATACTCTATAACTCTACTAACTAACTTTTAAGATACTTAATAATAGCAAGTAATTCCTTATTATATATAGTGTAGTTTTATCTCTCTAGCGTTAGTGCTATAGAGTAGTAAGTAACTAGGCGCTAGACGCCCCCTACTTTTTATAACAAGCAACCCCTAAGAGTATATCCTAAATAGTCTGCTTCTAATAACATTTCTTTAGCTAGGTCCTATTATATTAATACTAGTCCTAATATAAACGCCTTTTTTAGCGCATTAAATGCACTTTATTCTTCCTCTCCCTATTAGAATAGGGTATTCCTCCTAGTTAGTTAGTTTAAAGGTGCTACCACTTTAGAAAACTTTATAATAAAATTATAGTAGAAGTTAGTAAAACCTAGAAAACTCCTTACCTCTCTTATATTCCTAGGGGATTCCTATTCCTATACTACCCTAAGCTTTTTAGGGTTAGGTCTAAGTAATTTGCCCGCCTTAATAATATAGCCTAGGTAGCGTACCTCCTTAATACTAAAAGCACATTTCTCTAAGTCTAGGTGTAGTCCTACTTCTTTTAATAGTATAAGTATACACTTTACTTTTTCTATATAGTTAAACTAGTCTCCTCCTAAATAAATTAGGATATTATTAAGGTAGGCTATTATATATAATCTAAGTAACTCTACAAGCGTAGTATTAATATATTATTAGAAAGTAGATAGCGCACTACTAAGACTAAATAGATATACTAACTATTTATATAACCTAAACTAGGTGCGGAAAGCTATTAAGGACTTATAACCTTCTACTATTCTAACTTTATAAAAGGTAGCGCAAATATCTACTTTTATAAACTAATTTACACTAGATAGTGTGTGTAAAGTTTCCTTAATAAGTAGTAGTAGGTATTAGTCTAATATTATTATGCTATTAAGCATCTAGTAATCTATATAAAGGCGCTAACTGCCTAATAGCTTCTTTACTAGCAATACTAGAGCTCTAGCTATAGAAGAGCTTGCTTAGATCTAGCCCTTGTCTATTAATCTAGTAAGTTATATTCTTAGTTCTAGTAATTAGTTACGTAATATAGGGTATAGGGGACCCTATAGGGGGTTAGGCTAGGTTCTATCTAGGAGAGTTCTTAACTAAATATAGTAATCTATACTACCTTAATAAGGTAGTAAACTACTTGCTAACTCTTTGTTAAACAGGTCCTTAAATTCTTGTAGTTCTAGTAGTAACTTTGTCTTTCTAGTTTTATGCTTAGGTTTATAGGGAACTATATTACTAGCAATATAGATAGTGTGTATGTTAATAGGACCTCCCTTATTAACACTTCCTAGATATTTTATTAAGTATAAGTTATATATTGCCTATAAAATATCTAGTATATTTATTATAAAAATTTATACCTATATATCTTCCTATTAGGATCCTTAATTTAGTAACCCCGCTATAACTAAACCTAAGATAGTAGAGATATAAGTAGGATGTAGGCGTCTCCCGCTCTCTTATACTACTATATTTCCTACCTTCCTAATTATTAATTTGCCTTATAGAATGTCTATAACAACGCCCTCTCTACATAGCTATAGTCTGCCTAGTATTAGTTAATAGGAGAGACTAGGTACTATATAAGCTAAAAGCTAAGACTACTAACTATCTAAATTATAGTCTAATACTACTAACTATAAAATTCTTGTACCCTTAGTAATTCCCTAGGTATATTATAAGGGTTATAGGGGAATATTAATAAAGTTCCTACTAATCTATCTTGCTAACCTTTCCTTAACTACACTAAAACACTAGCACCCTAAATTAACTATTACTTATACGTTCTCTACTCTACCTAGGAGGAGAGGAATAAAGAAAGGAGGATTATTTAACCTAGCCTTAATATCTAGGGGATACTTAATAGCCTCTACTATTAATAATTCCTCTATTATAGTGTCCTCCTTATACCCCTAACTTAGCCTAAAGTTAGGGGTAGCTAGTTTCCTAAATTAGGGCTACTTACTAATACTATAACTGTCTTAACGCCTACTAGTTATAGTAATAGAGTATTAGGGCATACACGCATAAAATAACCGCCCTATCTACACTAGGTATAGACCTTTGCTAGTTTCTATGCATTAAATAGGTCCTATAGGATCTAGTTAGGGCGTAATATTAGTAGTTTAGTAGGTGCACTTAATAAGGCTACTACTTCTACTATATTTATATTGCTATCCTAATCTAAGTTAGACTTCTACTAGGGTTCCTTAGACTTACTAGCCTAAAGGAAGCCTAGTTCTAGAGAGGCTATTTTAATATCTACTATAATTATCTTATATTCCTCTATAGCTGCGTTATAGTTTATCCTAGAGACTCCCCTATTAAAGGAAACTAAGCGCATATAACTATTAAGAGATTGCTAAAGTTATAAAAGCTTCTATTTATTATTCTAGTATAAACCTCCTAACTATATAAGGAGCTATATAAAATTTATAAAGAACTTTATAAAAGGCTAATTTTAGCCCTAATATAAGTATTCTAATATAACTTAGGCGCGCTCCTGCCTATAATAGTTACTATAATAGAATGCTAGGTAGTTAAGAAACCTACTTATATCCTAACGCTTGCGTGCACTATCCTTAAAGTATAGTGCTATAGCGCGCTAGACTGCAGGTAATAACTAGGACTAAATATATATAAACCTTGCCTCCTTATCCCTAATAAAGACCTTATCGTAAACGTAGTCTAAACTCTATATTATTTGCTAGAAGGAGAAGTTTGCCTTAGTGCTAGTATATAGCAAGCTAACTAGGAAGGGTTTGTAATATAAGGTAGGAGAGGGCAGAGGCAGTATATTATTAAACCTAGTAGGCTTAGAGGAGGGTTAGGATAGAATCTAATTACGTATTTCCTTATTCTATTAATATAGTATAGCTATTATAGTAGAGTCTTAAGCCTATTATTCTATTAAACTATAGACCTATTATATTAGCCTTTCTACTATATTAGGTTACACCTAGTTATTCTAAATATCTAGCGCGTCTATCTCTTATTACTATTATAGTATATTTAGAAGAAGATACTAAAATATTATAGACTAGCCTTAAGGGAGAATATAATAAGCGTTAATAATAGTATTTAGTATCTTAAAGAAGAGATAAGCCCTCTACGCCTTTTTATAGGTGTCTAGTGTGTTCGCTTAGTAGTAGTGTTAGACTTGGTCCGTCTTGTGTTAGACCTAGGCTTAGGCATAAGCCTAAGCCCTTTACAGTCTACCTCTACCTAGATCCCTTTAGTTAGGGTATAGTATTTAAGTTAAATATACTAGGTAGGCTAATTAGTTAATCTAGTAAGTAGGATATTGCCCTTTAGGATTTAGTTGCTTATAGTAGAAGAGTAATAAGTAAGCTTCTACTTAAGAAATAGTATAGAAAGATAGAGCTTGCTAGCTTAGTAATTAAGTTAAGTAGTACGCTTAAATAGATAGGACAATCTTTAATAAGGTAAAGCGCGAACTAGGCTTATAACTATAGAAATTTAGATTACTAAGGTTAGGAATAATTTAGGAGATAGATTATTATATTATCTCTACTATAATCTAACGCATATATATAGAGCTATAGCTACCCTTACTAGAAGGTATATAATAAGTACACCTTCCTTACTAGAGCTCCTTCTTTTTATTAGGCACTTAGTAATAAGCTAGTAGTTAATTAGATAGTGGGTTATACAAGGGTATTAACTAGGATTAATTAGGATTAATTGGGATCAAGATGCTCCATGATCCGGTTGTTATCCCTCCTGCAACACTTGCCTATTATTCTATACTAAGTTAAGCCTAATAAAGGCCTAACTTACTAATATATATAAAGAGTAGCTCGCCTATAATTAGGATAGGTATATTCTTCTTGTCCTTTCGTACAAGACCTATAGGTGTAGGAATCTTATCCTTTTCTATATAGACGCGCACTCCTATATGCCTTTAAGTTGTATAGGATACCTTTTAGATGCCCTACCTACCTAAGTTGTTGCAGGAGGGATAACAACCGGATCACGGAGCATCTTGATCCCGATCAATCCCGATCAATCCTAGTTAATACCCTTGTATAACCTACTATCTAATTAACTACTAGCTTACTACTAAGTGCCTAATAAAAATAGAAGCTCTAGTAAGGAAGGTTTACTAATAATACACCTTCTAGTAAGAGTAGCTAAAGCTCTATTTATATACGTCCGATCCTAGTAGATATAATCTAATAATCTATCTCCTAAATCATTCCTAACCTTAGTGATCCAAATTTCCACAAAATGCTATAACTATTAAGCTTATTAATTAAGCTAATTGAGCTCCCTAATTTTACCTTATTAAGCTAATCTAAGCTGTCTTTTTCAGCCAATAGATCAAGCTAATCCAAGCTGGGGTACCTAGCTTGATTGGCTTGATTGTTGACAACTCTGGTACTCCTCCACGAACACTCCGGTGTAACAGAGATGAAGATTTAAAATTTCATTGCTAGAGTACCAAATACAAGACTCGCTTTACCGCAACAATCTCTTCTTAATAACGCGACAAGTATTAGGGCATGCGCAACAAGGATACACCGGCTGTTGATGTTTGATGATTGTATAAGCTGGCATTGGTAACAAGAAACAGTTACACCGCAATTGGACTGACATTGCTAACTGGCAATCTACCACTTAAGCGACAACCTCACCCCCTGCTCAGGTACCTAGTGTGCAAAAGTTTGGCGAGGATAAAGCACAGTGAAGGGCCTCAAAACCGTACTCAACAAGGGCCTGTTTACTGAAAAAGCGGTATGGTGGCCTCTAGGTAGCAATCGAGCCAATTTAAGCTATGTGCCCGAGCGGATGGTGAGGTTGTAGGCGTCTACTAAAGACTAACCGTTGCTCGAGGTGGGACAGAGGTGGTAACTACGCTCCTTTATGCAAACATGAACCACGGGTATCGAGTGCCACGGCACGACACAAGACCTCAATTGGGCGGCCTGCTCATCCTGCATAATCTGATGAAGAAGCTCAGTGTGTGAAAACGTTTGTCCCGAGAGAAATTAAAGGCACGACAGTTATCATCAAGCAACAAGAAAGCGTGTGTGGTATTGTTAAACAAAACTGTAGATTCCAAATCCTTCAATCCTAAAAAAAACCCTTACCGCAGGCACATGTTTCCATATCAAAGAGCAAAGCACGCCGGAGAAATGGAAACTAACAACTAGATGCCCATTCAATTTATGGGCAATCACAACGAGAAAATTTCCGGTACATGTGTATACTGCTGTTGTATGCAATTCCAGAGTATAACAGCGATGGCATATCTCGAGAGGAGGAAGCCAGGTGACACGAAATTGGCTTTATCCAGTGCAAACGAATTCGATGTTTCATCCCCGATGATTCTGTGAAGAAGGCTCTTTTCGAGAGGAGATAAGGAGTGGTCGACAAGATAAGTGGCTCTGCGTGCTCATGACGTCTGAAATGATGTAGCCTATGAGACAATCAGCTCTGACAACCAAATACAAGTGCTCGTTGTCATCGATACCATGTAGTGCGATCACAAGTGCTCAAACCACACACCAAATCAGTTCTGTTGTAGTGGGGCAGCTGTGTGACTCTCAAGAAGTATATCGCTGCCTTGAGCCCCGCCGAAAAATTCCCCCTGGTTTGCAATAATTTTGCCTGAAAATGGACGCTGATTTGCATCGGTTATCGGAACTGGAGGCGAACGCATGACTCTTCACCCACCCTGTCCACCACTGCAAGTTCTCGGAGCGTTGGCCAGCAAAGGAGATCTCTGGGCGATGAAGCTAGTGTGTTTTCATTCCACTTCAGGCTTGCTCGAACGGCAGGGTGAGCCAAATGTCAGAACGAGTGAAGACAGGCGACTCGGGACTCGGGTTGCAAGTGTCAATAACTCTCATGCTGCACGAGGGTAAAGTGCCTTTTTTGTTCGGCTACAGTCATGCCTCAGAAAGTTCCCATGGACTAGTTGCAGTGTTTCCGCCGGTACTTCCTAGGGTGGTACTTGCAGCATGTTCGATTGCAGCAGAACAGATTTGCATCTCCTCTCCTGTTTCGAGTTGGGACGGCCATCAAGCTCCTCTGGCAATTCTGGTGAATGTTGAACGAGATTAGATGCAAGGTGTCGAATAGGGTCAGCGTTGGCATCTAGTGAGCGTCGAGAATTCAGTCGTGTGAAAAATCTTCTGGAGGCTTTTGAAGCCCATCGTGCACAGTGGCTCTGGGGACTTAGTGTAACTCAACCCCGGTTTTGTGGCGGGCAGTTACATACCTAGCAGTCATCTGTATAAATCGGCTATCGACAATTCACAGCAGTTGTAGTAGTCCCGCCGCCTTCGGTAGTAGTTGATGCAGGCCAGATCCCTGCACTGGGGTCTGATTTGGCTTGCCTGCGGGTGGGGGTATGTTTGGGTGTCCATGGCGTGAAGCCAATGGTCAGTGGGCATGATCTTGAAAGCGGGATCCGTCATTTCCGCCACTTTACAGATCCTAATGTCTTTTTCGTAGCTGATTACAAGGCACTGTGAGGAAATTCCAGTACAGCTAGAACCTCTTGGGTAATGAGGCCTGATGTCTAGCATCTTCCCATTTCGTCCAAATCCGTGGCGCTCATCCCATGGGATACAGAGGAATGAAGGAAGCGCTGACCATGATTCTGGCGGGGTTCTTATCATATGATCCTCTCCTGTTTTATAGTAAATAAAGTCTCCCGTATAGGCCGATGGGCTGAAGAGCACCATCTCGGGTAGAACACCTGGACGGGACGAAGGACATAAGTTACCAACCGGCCCTAGACCTCTAAGTCTCTGAAACAGTGCCCTCAGCTCTGATGCAGGTATCCGGCCATCTATAGTTAGATCAAGGGCATCGATGCGGCTATGAGGTACCCACTCGAGGTTGAGAACCACAATATCCGGGTCAAACTTGCTGATGCCAAAACGGGCTCGGGGCCATGTCGGCGGCTCTGAGACTGTGCAGCGCGTGTCGTGACTTGCATCGTGACACTCTATATTGAAGCTGTTGAGACACACTTGCCAGTCTCCTCCCTGTTGTTGCTGCCGCCAGTCGTATATATGGGCCTTGATGATGGCCCAGGTGATTTGAACGTGCTCACATAACTGCACCGACCCCTGGTAGCCTAGACACCGTCGGTCCCCCGATGTTTTCTGGTATGCGGAGGAAAATTGCCAAATATCGTGGGATTGGTCGCAGGCATAGCAGTGGAGCCTGTCACTTTCCAAGTGATCAATACGGTTTCGGAATATTTGCCTAAATTTGCAGTCGTCAAGGAATGGGCTTCGTTGGGCGTCGTTCCAGCGCTTGCAGTTTTTGCACCGGCCGTCCTTCTGTAGCAGCCGTCGAAATTGTAGCCTCAGATCACCTTGGAGATAACGAGTTTTACCTCTAAAATACATGTCCATGTAGATATACCATGCATCTCTCCAAATGAGCGATTGCCGGTGGAGAATACGAAGAAAGGCCCTTGAGACTATCCGGAGACAGTGCAGCGCAATAACATCGTCGCATAGGAAGTCGATTACACACAGAAGAATTTCTTCTGGCAGCCGACTGAGAAGGGGGTTGAAGCGAATATTGTAAACCTGTGCGGCTATAAGTGGGTCCATGGTGCGCCGCAGCTCGTGTCGGATGACGAGGAGGGCTTCAGCCTGTTGAGCTTCTCGCCTCTCCCGCTGTATTCGCTTCTCGGCTTCTAGTGCCTGTATTCGCTTCTCGGCTTCTTGTGCCTGTATTCGCTTCTCGGCTTCTTGTGCCTGTATTCGCTTCTCGGCTTCTTGTGCCTGTATTCGCTTCTCGGCTTCTTGTGCCTGTATTCGCTTCTCGGCTTCTTGTGCCTGTATTCGCTTCTCGGCTTCTTGTGCCTGTATTCGCTTCTCGGCTTCTAGTGCCTGTATTCGCTTCTCGGCTTCTTGTGCCTTTGTCTGCTTGATAAGCTGGCGGTCTTGTCGCTGCCTTCGAATCCATCTAAACAAAGCGAACATTTTCAAGTTTACCACAGACTTGGACAATAGGTAGAGCTTGAATGGCTGTAGAACAGGCGATCAAGTCCGAATAATCTAAGCTCAACTCAAGCAACCAGGTGGAAGGGGAATCCGATTAAGTGACTGGGGTTTGATGAAAGATGATATGATCGTTGTAGAAGGTATAGAGGCTGGGGCGGCGAAGAAGATGCTTATCTAGAAGAAAAATTGACCGACCCTGAGTTGGGATACTGGTAACCTTCGGCCGTGGTACCGGTAGCCACTAGGGGCGCATGCAGGCAACAATCATAACCATGGTATGAACTGGAAGAGCCAAGAATACCAAGCATCAGGTCCGTACTCATCATCCCGCCTAGTCCAGAAGTCATGTGATTGGACCCACTGTGGCGAAACGAAGCATCCTCAACCACACAATCTATCAATTTTGGCCGCGGTATTCGAGCTCAAGATGCCTCGCAGTGTTGAGTATTCGCGCGAGACGCGCTCTGCTATTATAACCCTTCGTTGTTAAGGTATTAGGTGGACTGCAATATTAAAACAGCTGCCTGTCTCGCCTACGGGGGCGCATATGTTTATGAAGAGACTCTTCAATCAAGCTGGTATAGCCCACACAGTATCGCCACGCTCAATACCACCCTGGCACGCAGTGGCAAACCACGTGACTTCTGGACTACCCGAGCGCATGAGTATAATGCGCCTTGATGTATAGTGCCGTCTAGGTGCATGGTGCCGTCTAGGTGCATGGTGCCGTCTTGATGTATAGTGCCGTCTAGGTGCATGGTGCCGTCTTGATGTGTGGTGCCGTTTTGATGTGTGGTGGCGTTTTGCTTTGACAGGATTGTATGTCTTGTGATACAAGGTCTTCTGACATCGGGTTTTACACTGGTTTTCTTTCGCAAGGGAAGAACCAAGTGAAGGTCTGATCTTTGCTATCCGCCAGATGATCTTCCTGGCGGACCCACCGATTAATGCACGAGTGTGCAATGCAGGGTACACCCATTGATTTGGGCGTCTGACCCGTCAGACCGATGCTCGGCCCGGTCAGGGATGATCCCCGACCAGGTGCCGATGTCAGATGAGGTAACGGCTTGGCTTTTGTAGGTTCTTTTAACGTGATATCTCTCTCAACACAGGTTCCACTCAGGCCATTGCCTCTTGCAGGCGACCGAAAAGCTCACGAAGCCTTCGGAGCTGTATATCCATGGTGGCACGTCTGTGCCGTTCCTCTTGAACGGCGGCAGCGAGCTCAGCTCGGACGGCGGCAGTCTCTTGGTGGGCGAGCCGAGTGTCTACTTGGGAGAGGGCGAGGGCAGCCTGGGCGGTGGCAGTCTCACCGCGGGAGAGGGCGAGGGCAGCCTCCGCGGTGCGTGCGCGGGTCTCCCAGTTCTCAAGCTTGAATGGCCAAATCAGGCCCTCTACCCACAGGACAATAATTGCCAAACACTCCAGAATCCAACGGCATCTGGAGTGGGCAAGTTGCCCCGGAACGATGGTACGGGCCCAGGTGGCCAAGAGGCCCCATGCGGCGGCCAGGCGGGCTAGGAGGGAGGTGCCGAAGATGATGCCAAGGATAATGGCAGCGGACATGTAGGCGGGGGGGAGAGGGGGCTTGAGGTGGTCTCTCATTTGCCTGAGTATCCCCAGGAATTCGTTGGTGACGTCGAGGGCATTTACCCCCGGGAGGAGAGAGAGGACAGAGAGGAGAGAGAAGAGGAAGAGGGAGAGGAGGAAGAAGAGGGTTTCAATGACCATTGTCATTGTTGCTGTTGCTGGTGCTGGTGTTGCTGTCGTCGTCGTTCAGTCACTGGGGGCCTGCGTTACAAACTGGGAGCGAGAGAAGACAGAGTTTTATCGACTTCTGTGTCGGAGGTTCCTGCTCTTCTAATCTGACCAGTCTCTTTCGTGGCAGTTGCTGCCGGCGTGCCCATCTCTCTTGGGTACTGCCTTCCTTCTTTATGACCCTGAGCTGGCAGGAGCACACAACCACTCTCGTTTCAAGGGCAAGGGCAAGGGCAAGGGCAAGGGAAAACTCTCGTTCTCTACAGCTTATGAGAATTGCTGTTGCATGCTTATTAGAGACACATTTGTCTATACAGCGGAACGAGCTTGAGTGTTCAAGTTTACTACGACCATCGTACACGTTCGGGCAATTGCATAATCCTCGCTTCACTTAAGAGGCATCCTATCTTCACTGCTTGTATTAAAAGAATACAGCTGTTTCTAGAAACCTATAGGTTGGATGAAATATCAATTTAATAACTTCCACTTGTACACGGTAATTTCTCTCCCACACATCTAACATCAGACTATCCTCAAGTGTAGGGAAGGGAAGTGTCAATTCATCCTCCTATCCTGCTCCTTTCATGCCACTCACACCACCAGCAATGAATAGTATCATGGTTTCCTTTTCAGGGGCGAGATATCAAACTAGCTAGACTTATTAGGTAGGAGTGTTCCTGTTATTAAAGTCAAGGTGTATAAGACACAAGGAACGAATAACCAAGTCGTACCAGATCAGGCTGTGCAAACTTCTTTCTGTTCAGCAGTTCCCATGGGTGAGATATTGTCGAGGCAGTCTCGAAGGAATTTCAGGTGTACTTACTACTTCCCAGATAGTCAGATGATGTGGCAAATATCCATCCTCATGGCATCGCTTGCTTGTTCTTTGCCAGTCAGTCGGAACTTCGAAGCCAAAAGCTGTTGGTGTTTTACCTTGGCGGTCGTGTCTTCGAGTACAATCACGGTATATTTGCGACACTCTTGGTATACTCTGATCTTCTACAAGTCCAGATTCGGCATGGGACATGTCCAACTCAAAAGATGGCTGCTTGATGTGAATACTTCTTTGCAAATTGGGCAACGCACTGGGACCCCCCGGCATTCCTCCATTTTCTCTCATCTTGTTGGAAAGCGTCTTGGGGACAAACGCCGCGCCATGCACGCGACTGGGCATCTGCCTGAATTTGCGATACTCCACCGCCAGTTGCAAATAGGGTCCTGCGCCTTTTCCTTCTGCAGAGCTTTGACCTTGCAAACGCCAACCTCTACCTATATATTCTGCCTCTCCTGCTCGACTCTCCCTCTCACACACTCTATCACACAGGAACACACAACCTCGTATCACAAACTGACTCTGAACTTGTCTTCTTTCCATCTCCCAGGATGAAATCTTTCATCGCTATCGTGTTCTGCTTCGTCTTTGGGCTTGCGAGTCTCATCGGCGCATTTCCTGCCGACGACACTGGCCTCTCCGGCTACAACAGCAGCCTTAGTAAGTAGAAGTAGATCAGTGGAGTGTGAGTAAAATAATGCTAACAATGCCTTAGATGCTTACAACGCGTCCATCAGGCTCGATGACCATCCTTGGGATCACCACAACGGTCGTGCTCTTGCTGAGATCTGGATCGGTCGTCAAGCTGTGAACGTTGGGGATCTAACCCAGGCTGAGCTGTACGGACAAGTCTGGACTCAAATCGACAAAGTCTGTCCATCTTCCAAGCCTGGCTTCTGCTACTCCTCCTGGCGCTGGACTTTCAAGACGCACTATGTGACTGAGCACAACAGTGCTTTCCCAATCCGGTACGACGACAGTAAGTAACCGCAGCTCGGCCACATGGCTCACTACTCACTCAGTCCCCAGCCTACTTCTCTATGACAATTACGGACTTCCGTTGGTACCACGAGGATACTCGCCGCTTGCTCATCGGCATCGCTGCTGGCACACTTGGTACGTCCTCGCATCTGCCCCAACCCAACCCACAGACTGCAAACACTGACTGGAGTTACCAGAGGCTCTGACCAAAAAGGGCAGTCCCAACTGCTACCAGCTCCCACTCCACTACAAGTGGTTCTGCAACATCGGCGATTCACTCGAGATCAACCTGCCCGACCAGGACGGCCACAACAACTACCTCCATCTCCGCTTCTACGGCGACCAGGTGTACAGTGGGTTCCGGTGCTGCCGCGATGACAAGGTCCACGATAAGAATGTCCGCCGCGATGTCGATCAGGCAGTTGATGGACTTGGTAGCGAGCTGTCTTCTGAGTTTGGTCAGCCGTACAGTCGCCTCACCATGTGCATTCTTGATGGGTGGCGCCTTTGCGAGGATTGTGGTGCGCCTTGTGATTCGTGTGGTACTACGTGCCCGGCCTCATAAGTGCCTGTCAAGAATTAGGCTTGTGTTAGCAAGGACAAGGTCTTAGACTCTGCTTCAGGTGCCGACCACTCAGTCGTTGCAGTTTGTCGTGGTAGGGCTGTGTCCATGAAGGAATCACACTCGAAGAGATTTCACGGCCATTTGGTGATGACATTGTCTTGTGCTTGATAGCTAGGTCTCCAATCAGATGTAGCAATACATTTTCATGCAAAGACTGAATTCGTAACCAATGCGTTCAAGCCAGTAAAAGTGATGTGAAATCCTTGAACACATGAAATATGCGTCCAATACTTTTGTACCACTACTGATATGGTCCCAAGTTGGCGCATCCAGCCTCTACAAATCGTTTTTCTCAATGTTCTTCTCACAGTCCAAACCGTCACGATAAACAACGATGTGGGTGGAAAGCACTATCCCACCATTGCGACTACAGCGCATTGGGCTCAACACAAGTGGCAGCATCACATGACTTAATGAATATTACGCAGCAGCTATCAACTTTCATTAATCACACCATTCAATTGACGTACAGTTGAACCCTCCCTGCCGCTATCTTGGCATTCTCAGTTCTGGGACCAACTTGTATTCTGTCTCCCACGCAAGCAGTCAAAATCGCCATCTCCTCCCACCCTACCGTACCTACACTCACATCCAAATATGATCCAACCGAGTCCAAACACCCGCAACCCGCATGACGTCCTGCCGCCAGACAGCGCAGAGCGGATCCTCCCGGGGCACCCGTCGACTCCACACAAGACTCGGGGCCATCCTCGCGCCAGCAAAGCAGAGAGAGCTGATCAACTTGGTCACTCGAGAATCACACACCGGTTGACCAGTTCGGAAGGTATCGGCCCGCTCCGTGGAGCTGTTCGTACGCCGGATGAAATTGACATAGTCGTCGTTGAGCTCGAGTTCGCAGTGGACTGACCCATACCTGTTTCCGGTTCGAATCTCGAGTGTCAAAGACTTCAAGGCATGGCGAAGTTGAGAGGCGCTGTTAGCTGTGTGCTTGAGCATGATGTTGAGGACTTGGTTGAGGAGTCCCGATGCCTCGGTGGAGCAAATCTTAAGGCCGGGCCACTCTCCAGTCAGAGCTGTGATGATTGGCAAGATGTTTGATGTCCTGATTTGCGTGTAGTAAGGAGTGATGGTGGGAGTAGGTTGCAATATCAGCAGGCTTGCGACAAAGGTGCACTTGTTGGTGCTGGATGCCATGCAACCTGGGTAGAGAGCTTCGAGACAAGGCATGACCTCCGCCTCTGTGACAGGGAAAGTTTTGATGTTCAGATAGAGTGCTCGGAACTCCATCTTGACCTGACGACAGGTCTGGGTCAGCGCGCGGAATGAAGATTGGCCAGTTGTCTCGTCGGACGTGGCGGCGATCTCATAGACTAGATCTCGTAAATCTACCAGTGTAGTTGGTTAGCCTCATTCTCAGCTGCACATCTCCATGGTGTCTTCTTACGGGGATCCAGATCGAGGAAGCGAAAGGGAGGTCCACCGCTCGCAGCATCCTGCTTGCCATTGCGGCGAATCTTGTGCCTCGACAGGCGTCCACGGCACCTGTTTTCTGGGTCAATCACACTAATCTGTCTCAAATAAGCATGAGCTCTTACGCTGCAAGGCCATTGCCAATCTTCTCTGAAATCGCGTTCCAAGTTGGCGCCATCTTGTCGGGGAGAACGAAGAGAAGTAGAACGTCTCGGACTGAGCAAGCTCTGTTTTCAGGACTGATAAGGCTGGTTCAGTGGTGGTGGTGCCTTTTATGCAGCTTAGTCGCTTCTGAGCACGTGGACTGTACCTACACTCACCTTCACGTTCACTTGGCAGGAGAGCAATACTTTGTAAACAGACGTGCCGCCATTGCTTGGCAACATTGGTACCAAGGGTCTAGTCACCGAGAGTTACCGTTTGCCATGTCATTATTGAAAAACAGATGACGACGTTGAGATATATCAGCCGCCCTCGAAATGAGATGTTCAGTATACAAGAGACAAAGAAGTAGCAGACTCTTTACTTATTTCGAGCTACTCAGATAACTATCATACGCCATAATGCTACGCTCCTGTCTTAGTCTAATTCATTTCATCCGTTCCGTTGTCAGAGATCTGACCTGTGAATTTGACTTGTAAATGTAGAATCCTATATTGATCCTCAGGTTCTCAGAGATCAGTGAAATGGTGCACTTGAAGACATGTTACATTCGCTCGCCTCTGCGATACACAGCATGACGTCGGTGGCACTCATTTAAATTTATATGCCTCCATCTACCATAACTTCCAGCTCTGAATGATACAAGTATGAGCACATCATGGTTCACAAATTTATCATCCCCAGGTCTTATTTGTACTAGAAATCCAATCATGGCGCCAATAAACATTCAGTGAGGGGATCGTACCCTTTGGCAGCTAAATCCAACAGCCTAATATAACCTGATGCGGATATGGCACATCTTCAACTGATATGCTAAGTTCAATATTGTAGAGATTCGCCTGCCAGTCGTATCGCACGAGAGGGTCTCCGGTCATTTCTGACTGTTTGGTAGTTTCTGCCAGGAGAACAGCAATTGATCTTCAGGAGAAACGCAGCAGGGAGATTGACCTGATTCCGCTTCGACTGTGAATGCGGCTATTGATTCAGTGTCAAAATGTTCGATGGCTGATTTGAACATGTGTGGCGCGGAGTTGTCATGGGAAGAAATGCTCTCGGCAGATTGAAGACTCGGCTGGGACACAGGTGGCGTAGAATCCTCAAGGCTATATGTCTCCTCTATAGGTTGGAAGTTTAGGCGATACGGAGTGTTCGAAAGGGACATAGTTGTGGTCGTCGCGTTGGTGGTGTTGTTCAGATGCCTGTTCGAGAAACAGCATGCGATCCCGAGCTTGCTGCTGTTGCTTCTTTTGCCATTCTTCTCGTTTCTGATATACCCGCTGACTGAGACCCTGGAGTTTTTTTACACTCTCCATTCTTTTGGTGGGTTCCTTCATGGTATACCATAGTTTGATTACTGCCTTGTCGACATCTTGGCGTAGAGCTTCGGGTATAAAGGCGAACTGTCGATTGCGGGAAACATCACCAGGCCTTAATATGGGTCTGGCTTCCACATTTCTGTGCTCAAGTGCAGGCATTTTACAAGCTTCTGTGCCGTTCTCGTATGTGTACATTGCCATTCCAACATGCGTAGAGCCTTGGGCAGAGGGTGACGCTGTAGAGGCGTGGACTGGTAAGCAGAGGAATGGGAACAAAGGGGAAAATAGGGTTCTTACTGGAAATACGTGACCCGTGATCTTCATCAATATCGGTGGCCGAAGAAGATCCCATCAGCCTCTGTCGTGAGGCAGGTCTTGATGCTGAAAAGGCCGGTATTGGCATAAGTACACGCCCGACTGGTTGCCTCGACGAGGGGACCACAGTGCTCGGGCCTGTTGATACACCGCCATGCATCTGTCTTGCTGACTGATCGAACAAGTTGCGATTGTTCAAGTCAGCAACGGGCGCAGGATACGGGAATTGCGGCGGAATAAGAATTAATCCAGGACTACCCGCATGGTGTCGCAGATCAATATTGGCAAGGTTCTTGGTACGACTGTCTGTCTTGTAATGCCAGTTTTGTGAAGGTCTGCTGTTAGTGTAGCGGATGGGTTGCAAAGGCATTAGCGAGAGTGCAAGTTGTGTTGTCTTATATGTTGCCAGACGCATGTCGGGACCATATAGATAGTCCGTATAGGCAGGGAAGGTTGCACAGTCACGCGCGAGATCTTCCGACTCCTGGTCGTGAAAAGGCATTTTGGTGGAATGGCGGCCTTGATGCGTGAGTGTGAAGCTGCAGTCGTAGTATGCAAATGCCATGATCTTATCTGAGATCGTAAACAGATACCTAGCTCTGGATGAGGAAGGCGCGGCACGTGCGAAGAGGTTTGCGAGCCAGGTGACGTCTACTGGCGTCTACACTACAGTATCATGCATGCTCCTCACGGTAATCAGTAATTCAGATATTGTACGTGCCTGTTCCTTTGTTTGGCGTAGAGCATCTTGAAAGCCTTCCTCTGTTTGCAGTGCGTTGTCAATTCTGTGCCTAATCAGTGTACGGCTCTACTTCTGTCCTGCAGGTTTCCGTCATTGTGTACATGATCGACGTAAGACAGAGCGGGTAATTATACATCTCTAATTTACTTTCGCAAGCGTACGAAAAACAGACCAAGATGTGCTTACAAGCACGCCCAAGGCTGGAACATGAAATGCTGGAATGGAATGAAAGTGTTGAAAAAACAAGACCAGGATCTAGGAATATAAAAGCGATTACTATAGCCATAACTAGCCGCTACACTACCTAGCAACTTGGCGCCAATCACTTAGCTCATCTCGAAACCCATTCGGCTCTCAGCTAACATTTGACCGCGACAAGAAAAATCTAATCTCACTGCCTACAACGTCGGGGGACGGTCATACGACATTTGATATAATCACCCAGCCTTCCGTTGCTACTGGATTATTGGACCTGCCAGTGGATGGTTTTGTCAAAGTTCTTCGCTCTCTGGACTGGTCAGTTCTGGGTCTTAACTCCTATATTAGCACTAAGTACTAAACACGCAGTCTACGAATCCAAATCGCCCTTCTCTTGCTGTCCAATCGCACAAACATACATATTCCGTCCCTATAGAGAACCATAGTACTCTTCCAGGTTACTATACTTAGCCTACTAAAGTACAGACCTAGCGCTTACTTACTTTGTTAAAGATCTTCACCTTGCCTTTCGTCTTCTCAAATTCTCCTGAACGCACAAAATATCGCCACCACCTTTGATACTTTCTGCAATACAATACCAATGTTCACAAACAACTCATGGGCGGACAGTCCATGGCGCAATCCCGCGATTGTTTTCGAGGAGCTACCAGAATCGCTCATCCTCGAAGACCTAAAATGATCATGGGACTTCCAGAGAGAGGCACACTTCCGCTGGATGCAAAAGGTGGTTTGGACCACGAATGACTCCTATCGTGTTGTCCTTCGTGACGTCGAAGGCATGGTAGGCGACATAGCAATGGAGATTTGGAATAAGCTGACGACATTCTATTGGCTTCAGTCTGCGCAGACAAGTGCTCCCCATGCCCATGAGAAGTCTTGTATGTCTGGTGGTACTTTTGCAGCTATATTTGAACAATGGCATCGAAGTTCTGTCTACCCAAATATCGAATTTGGCCATTTCTTCGCAGCGCCCGTTCGAATTACAGCTACAGGCCCATCGAGCTTACCACAGATTTTGAAGGCACATTCATCGCTCTGTGCCCAAGCACAGCACATCTCGTTGGATATGGATAACTATTCGGTGCATCCTCTTCTTCCTGCCGTTGTCCTTGTATACGACCGAGTCACAGGAGTTGGATGTGGGCCAGATGGCTACGTCAGTCTTCGCGAAGTAGCGAGGACGCAGACTGTGCTGGTCATTCTTACCGGAACAAATCGAACCAGCACCGGTATCCATGTTACTCTGGATCGTCTCAAACCATTCGCTCTGCCCATCGAAAGAGCCGATGCCACTGGCCTTGATATTCTGCGAGTACCCCTGGATATCACTATCGATTTTGTCATCGAGTTGGAGGGTAGTATCGACGCGCAAAAGGAAACCAGCGGCCGAACTCTAGACACGAGTCTCTGTCATCACCAAACACCCGTCGGATACTATCACGACATCGCGTATGATTCAAGCATATGGGCTCAAACAATGCGAGCAGAGGCAATAAAAATTGGGTTCAAAAAGCTGTGGGATACGAAATTTGCTGCCGTGCGCGTTCACGCACACCTTTCCGGACAAGTATCAAACTGCGAACTAGAACACCTGCCCTTTAGCCAGAGGTGGAAACCCTGAACTCACATGCGTTCTTGGATCATCTTTTCACGTGGGAACGAGGCACACTCTCAGTGCAAGGCTTGAAATTGGTTTATTGGCAGTGGCGGAAGTGCTGGGGTGTTTCAAGCTGTAAGAATATCTATTACATCTATGTGGGGGTTTAGCCAAAACCTTTGTTCCACCTTTCGATAATTTCGTTACTTTGGTGTTTGTACGGGGGAGAGCGGAAGGAAGGAACGGGGAAGAGAGGAAAGAATCTACGCGTATAATTCATGAAGAAGGAGCTTCTCCAGATGGTCCCTACCTTGTGTAGGAGGATGTTGTGTTTTACCATCGCCTTCTAAGCTTTCGTCTGTAGACTACACCATAACGTTTGCAAAAACGTCTTCACGAAACCCTCTTGAAGTTTACGAATCCGCGATTACGAACGAAAAGCGGCTATGCAAGGAGCTCGCAGGTTTCGAAGCGCAACCACCTTTGCCCGCCTCGCTCGCATCGTGCGGTTACCAGGTCCAGTCAGGGAGGTTAGCCTCCAACGCTGAGAATTCTCTCCGACCAATGCTACTATCTTGCGTCATTTTGATCAGTAATTCGACATTAGTCGACGTTACGTCTGCGGATGCAGTTAAAAACCAATACTCCGCTTATAGTAACTGGTTTGACCTAGACCATAGACTTATGGTCTGTAATGAGAATTCCAAATTCAGGGATACACACTCTGGGGACAAGATGGTTTGGCTATTGGAAGTGCTCTGGCAATGTTGGAAGGGCACGGCGTTGGAAGTTGGAAAGCTGGCTTCAGATCTGTGTGCAATTGTCCGTCTGACAATTATTAATGAAGAATCGCATATTATCATATGGCAAGCTTTGAAGCATTCGTCGTTTAAGAATCGACGACCATAACTAGATCGAGTGCACCCGCCACGACAATGGCTTTTACGCCATTTTGGGAACTCCGAACGGGGCGAGCACGATGAGAATGCTTCGTGACCACCGGACAGAGCTAGGGCACCGCATCGTCGAGAAGATCGTGGTTTTCGGTAATAAGAACCTTACGATGAAAATGGGAGAAACTTGGAGTATTGCAATCCTTCTTTTCAATCGTCGAAGCCCTGCGTCTCGAATCACTATTCCCGTTTCTTCTTCTCGCATTACCTCATAAATCACACCGGGAAGGAAAACCCAAGGAACCCAAGGAGACAAACCGTTGTAAAAAGAGATACACTGGAGGGGACCTTGTACTTTGGCGCAAGTTCTAGGGCTCTAGTACCTTTCATTACCAGAAAGGGAAGCTAAACAAGTTCCAACAAACTATTTCATGCGTAATCTGGACGAGCGAGATACTACGAGAACTGCGTCGTGTGTCTCGTCCAGTTGCTTCAAATTTTGAGAGACGAAAACGAAAGTCACCTGAACCTCGCCCGACCAGGCCTGACAGTCTTCAAGCTCGTCCAAGCTGAGATCGATCTCTACAGTCGCATTGTCAAGAATGTTTGTGGCGACCACGTCTACTGTAGATTCAAATTCGACGGCTTTTTCCATTCGCTAGCGGGCACACAACAGTTCACTGTCTGGATTGATGGTGAAGACGCTCTATATGTCTTCATCGCACGCTCTTTGTTGCAGGCGCTGTGTGGGCGCAAGGAGGAAACTTACTTAGAGCCACTCCGTGAGCATGCAGCAATCTGGTTCTACGAATATGTCAAGCATTTTGTGGAGAAGCTGGACTACTTTGAGCCTGATCGCAAGCATCTTTCCATAATTGATGCCAAACTTTCTTGTGTTCTTTACGACATGAACGGGATCGATCTCTGGCTCTCAACATGAAATCTCGAGACTATCAGGCGTGATCTGATTGCTGGCGATGAATTCCTTGAGCAAATTCAGAAGCTACATGGGAACCCACACCCCGCCAGCGGCTACTCCCAGCATGCAGAGAGAAAAGCATGGATACATCTGTTATCAGGGCCAAGGCCAACAAGTTCGCTATCCTTGAAAAGCTTGCTAGCAACCTGGCAACGAAATGATTCACATGCAACACTATGATCAACGATAACTACCTTTTGATTCCGTACAAGGTTTTTTTAAGATCTGCATATGACACCCTTTTCTGGCTTAGCCGACTCCTCTTCAATAGTACTCTGGCCGAATTGACAGTGATGCAACACCTTCATTCCATCACATTGAACAGTTCTTTTGCAGTTGATCAAGGAGCTCACTGACCTCAATAAGAATGGTCCTATCTAGTCATATCGTGTTGCCGCGATGTATTATGTTGCGCCAAATCCCGAGGAAGCACTTCGTGTTCCCAACGAGGTGGAGTCTCAACTTGCAGACAACCGGTGTTTTCTGCTCAAGAAGGCTGAGATAAATGCAGAATTGGAGGATTATCCTGCCGCTCTTGGTTACTTGCGTAAGATCAACGCACTACATCTGGCATTGCTTGGCACAGGCCAAGACTTCAAAGAGATGTATTGGGACAGAGTCCTCTTGGCTGAGGCAGACTGTCATCGCAAGATCAAAGATTATGACTCGGCGGTGAAGTGCTACCTAGATATCCTTGGCCAAGAAATCGACTTGGAATCCACTACGGTACAAAACTAGTTTACAGTAGCTATATTTATCTAAAGTAGACCAAGAAGTGGTTTAGGTAGAAGAAGTAAACCTAAATAGGGTTTATTATACTATATATTCTATAAAAGTAAACTACTTTTATTTCTACTTCTATTAATCTACTAGTATTACGTAGTAATACCTAGTTTCCTACTATTTAAGTATTTTACCCCTCCTTTCTTTAATCTTCTTTACCACCTCTATCACCACCTCTATCACCACCACCTCTATTATCACCACCTCCACCACCTCTACTACCTCCACCACCTCCACCACCTCTACCACCTCTATCACCACCTCTATTATCACCACCTCTATTATTACCACCTCCTATTAGTTAAAATATCATAACTTATTATTATGTTATATATGCGTATCACTACGGTAAAAAATTGTTTACTATAGAATAGCACGCTAGGGGTTTACTATATAGTTGTAAACTAACCTCGTGTATACCCGTAAATAGGTTTAAAGTGGTGGTTCACTTTATTATAGGTGGTTTAAATTAAGTATAAAAAGTAGTTTTATATCTATTATACGCTATAATACCTAACTAAGACTAAAAGGGGTAGAAAAGATTAGCTTTACGCTATACGCATATATAACATAATAATAAGTCATAATATTTTTACTAATAGGAGGTGGTGATAATAGAGGTGGTGATAGAGGTGGTGGTAGAGGTGGTGATAGAGGTGGTGGAGGTAGTAGAGGTAGTGGAGGTGGTGGAGGTGGTAGAGGTGGTGATAGAGGTGGTGGTAGAGGTGGTAATAGAGGTGGTAGAGGTGGTGATAGAGGTGGTAAAGAAGATTAAAGAAAGGCGGGGTAAAATACTTAAATAGTTAGTAGGAAACTAGTTATTACTAATACTAGTAGATTAATAGAAGTAGAAATAAAATTAGTTTACTTTTATAGAATACATAGTATAATAAACCCTATTTAGGTTTACTTCTTCTACCTAAACTACTTCTTAGTCTACTTTAGATAAATATAGCTACTGTAAACTGGTTTTTTACTGTAGTGTATAGCGTAAAGCTAAGTTTCTCTACCCCTTTTAGTCTTAGTTAGGTATTATAGCGTATAATAGAAATAAAACTACTTTTTATACTTAATTTAAACCCCTACTATTAAAAGTAAACTACTACTTTAAACCTATTTACGGGCATACACGAGGTCAGTTTACACCTATATAGTAAACCCCTAGCGTACCATTCTACAGTAAACAATTTTTTACCGTAGTGAATATAAGTGGCAACCAAACACTTGCCGATGAGGATGCAAGGAGCCTTCCACGTGGAGTACCGGTATTTGACAAGTGGCCCACGGATAGCAATGATGAGTCCTTACGCAGACGCTTCGGGGTCCTTGCACAGGTCTTGACGGTCTATGGCTTACAGGACGACGCTGTTGCCGCTTGGCAAGCATTGAAACCTTCTGTATCCACGAATACAGAACTGGAGGACAAAACCGATGCTACCGGTACAGCACCGCTCGTCGCAAACGACGAAGTAGATCCTAAACCCTTCGGCAACAGATGCAAGTTTAGCAACGCTGCAGGCACAGCTGGAGCGACAGCCCATATCGCCACCTGATTTGAGACCAGAAGCATACATAGTCCAGTACATGTGCAACTCATGCGGTCAGGGTTGGACACATGCTAACCGAATGCTGGGCGTGCCGGAATTGTGTCTGCGTGCAGTCATCCACACCTTGTCACGAAAAATTGCTCGCCGATGACATAGATCCTCTTGTATGCAACAAGGAGCACGAATTCATCTACCTCCCTACATTTGACTAAGAAAAATGGTCGTCCGTGCCAGATGACATGATCCTAGTAGCTGGGCAGCTGGTGGCACGAAAACAGTGGCTGAAAAACATTCGTGAGAGGTTCGGCGTGCGACAGGAGCAAATTGATGCTCACAAGCTTGAAACCGCGAGGAAACCGAAAGCAATGTTCTGCATTGCTAGGTTTGTTCTGAAGTGTCAGAGGAAGCAAATGGATAGGATAAAGCTGACAAGGAGGGCGCGCACGTTTCCGGTACTCCAAACTTCACAGCAATCAGCATTGTAGCTGTCATGTATCATACGTGGGCTCTCAAATCAGCTCGCTTGGCGCATAATGCAGTGGATGTGACATTTGCGATTGATTGATACCACATTAGATACCATAGCGCGTGGGGGGTTTCGTGAAGAGGCCATGGGAGCATCAAGTAGAGATTGAGATTAGACGCATTCTTAGGATTAACATCTAACTTCTACGTTGTCCAAAGCCTCATACTATACAGGTACCAGTCGTAGCTCGAGGATCAGGTGTTTCTCGATGTCTTCGGAGTGAGCGATGCTAGAGCTTTCTCCTACCCAGCCAGGACGCAAATGTCTTCTGCAATTGCCTTAGCTTGGGCCTCAAAATTGCATGACGGGCTTAGCGCTATGATTATTAATTTCTCCAACTGATACAACGTAATCTTTCATCACGGCCGTGCCGTTCGCCAACGCCTCAAGCTGCTCCGTCGTACATGTAAGTACCGGATCCCAGGTATAGCACTGGTCCACCTCACTGTCTGGCATAACGTTCTTGAATCCAAAACCGCTGCTCGGGCCCTTTGAGCTGTATCCTTCTCTGCCTGCCAAACCTGTTGCAACATCTTTATCGAACATGACACGATCGAATAATCTACTAAACCTTGGTTTTCATAAGAGATACCAGCGCAGGTTTCCGACAGTGATGAGTGAAGTATGTAGAAACATGTTAGATAATAAGGTTCACCCTTACATAATGCAGTGCAGATTACGGTGGCGGAAGGAAATATCACTCGAAACGTAGGACAGCTCTCTTCACAGCACCGGCCAGCATCACTGCTCTCTGTTGGTGAAGTATGACTGTCTGACGTCCAGTCCACATTCGGCCAAATCACTTACAAAATACCGACGGCCTTGGCATGACATGTCCCCCACCCCAAATCAGATTCACATGACAGTTTCAATGTTGAATATTAGCCCGTCATACTACAACAAAACTCAATCACACCAAATTCCCCGCTGCAGTTACACAACAAACATGGCCAACGAGGCCCCCACACCCAACCCCTCGCCCGAAACCCTCGAAGCTCTTCAAACGCGTCACAAGAAGGAACAACGCGACCTGCTATCACGCATAACCCAAAAGAAGAAACAAGCGACCAAAAAGACGCGAAAAGGCGTAAACGACGAATGCGAACGACTTGAACGCGAGCTCAAGGAGCGGCAAAACGCTGAATTGGCAGCTTTGCATGGACCTCCATCGGACACTGTGCAAGCAGAAGATGAGGAGGAGCAGGAGCAGAGGTCGTTGCAAACGTCCATGCAACATACACAGGAGCAATTGGCAGAACTCAACCGCGGCACACAGACCCCGCAGATCAAAACTGCCAGCACTAATGGCGACGCGCAAGAAGCCAGGAAGAAGAAGCCCAACCGCGCAAAAGCCCGACTTGCCCGCCGCGCCGCCGACACAGCGGCCATGATCGCGGCTGCTGAAGCCGAGGCTGCCAACGCGCCTAATCCCCGTGAAGTCGAGCGCGAGCGCATGGCGCAGCAGTTGGAGAAGCGGGGGCTGGTGGTACAGGAGATCCGGGCGGATGGGCACTGTTTGTACGCTGCGGTTGCGGATCAATTGTCTAGCAGGGAGCTCGGCCTGACACCGACTATCTCAGTCACGATAGCAGGGAGTGAAGGGAAACAAGTCAATGGGGGTCTGGAGGCGTATAAGAAGGTCAGATATGCGGCTGCGGATTTCATACAACAGCATCCAGAGTCCTTTGATGGATTCACAGAGGATCCGTTACCGGAACATGTGCGCAAGATACGAGAGACGGGGGAGTGGGGCGGCCACTTGGAGTTGTTGGCTTTGGCGCGCTCGTATGGCGTGAGGATATGTGTGTTGCATAGTGATGGGCAGGTGAATGAATTCGAGCCTGAAGAAAAAGATGATCAAGGGCAGGGCAAGGTCGAGGAGATCTGGCTGGGGTATTACAAGCACAGCCATGGATTGGGAGAGCACTACAATTCATTGCGCAGCTGAGTGAAAGCGGCACACCGGTCGTCTGTGCATACGAACACTCTAGACTCGCCCTATCACTTTCCAAGGGCGCGACCATCTAATGCCACCGTTGGCGCTCCGCTACATCGCTCTTCGGCCTCCAGATACTAACGCAGTCTCTGACCACGCCGTCTACCTTGGCAACTTCATGTGTCCTTCTCGGGGTGTAATGTGCAATCTTAACCAAAGCATCATCTGCCTCCGGCCTGTCCGTCGCAACAACCTCCCCATTCTCATTATACGTAATATCCTCACCCGGCCGCTTCAACAGCTCAACATAGGTTATAGGAGGCAGTGCCCACGGCGGGCCACCCTGGGCCAAAGGTTTGCTTGTAGGAAATTCGATACAGATGAGCATACCATCGTTGGGTCTCGTCTCAGAGTTCGGGTCGGCTTTGGTGTCGTGTCGACGCAGCAGACTGGATTGGTGTTTGGCCCACTTTGGCTTCAGTTCAAAGGGAAGCACACACAGGAACTACTCCATGTCAGTCATTGAAGTCCTGCTCAGTTGTAGGCAATCGCGCATAGCTCAACTCACCGTATAATCCATAATCACATCGAAGCCACCACCATCCTCTTCCCAGCCATCGACCTCCTTGGTCCACTCTTCATCAAAGAAGTCACCACAAAGCACAGTCATCTTTCCCCACCCACCGCCCTTGATTTTTCCCTCTTGTTGCGCAATCCTGTACTCTCCCTCCAGAGGCCCCTCCCCTGGATTCTCCAACCACTTCCTCGCCGCATCCGCCGCATGGCGACTTACCTCCAGCCCATAGGCATCGTATCCATGCGCCGCAAAGAGTGCAACATCGTAGCCCCTCCCACATGCCGGCACCAAAGCACGGCGCCGCTTTCCATCCTCCCTGATCGGCGGTGGCAATGCCGAATATCCCAGCGACGTCGAGTTTGGCGACGGGGCACTCGGCGTCGGGTTTGGATCGGGTGAGGCACACGGACGGTCGCGGTGGAGCAGGAGATCAATGATGGCCGGGTTGCAGGAGGCGCGATCAAAGGGGAGGCAATCGGCTTTTTCCCAGACGGAATTCCAGCGGTCCAGGTGTTCGTCTGGGTTCGCGCCATTGAAGATTTCGCGCATGCGCTCCGAAGCTTGTTCCATGTCTTCTGCCTTTATGGGGGCTTTGGGGGATTTTGCTGGATCCATACTGAAGAAGACGTGGTTTGGACTAGATGATTGCAGGCTTGGCGTTGAATTCGATTCAGATTGTTGTCCTTTATTGTTGTTCTACCAGCGAAGAAGAGAGGATTCTCAAAACTCAAACACGAGAGGAGGTAGCCCTAGGCCTTGTACTATACCTAACCCTCCCATCGGAGTCGGTTCTAACTTCCGACCCGGACGAATCGATCGGGCCTCAGCAAAAATGGCTCAATCTGCTCTTTGGGCAGCTTAGTCTCTGTTCTGCCCCAGCCATCTTTTTTTTTCCGAAGTACTGGGTGGTTCCATGGGTAACAGAAGGAGCGAAATGGTAACGCCGAAGGAGGTGAAAGCTTAATCTAGAACTCTCTGCTGACCTCGGCGAGGCAAGTATGATGGCGCTTGTATGTAGTAGCGTACTATACTGTGTAGGTTATGATTAGGATGTGGTTAAACCTGCTCAGTTTGGGCTAGATGGCTACCTGCTTGATAGACTGACGGCCCCGTCAGCCCACCACCACCACCACCACCTTGGAGCATCCCATGATTGCCTGCCTCGGTCAATCGCCAAGACCCCGGGCAACATAGCGGTAGCGGTAGCGGTAGCGGTAGCGGTAGCGGTAGCGGTAGCGGCGTAGGTAGGGGAGGAATGCATGTTCCCCCCATAGAGTGCATACGGCGGTTTTCATTAGAGTAGAGTAGAGTAAGTATCGTGGTAGAGATACTCTACTCTACTCCTAGCAGGAACAGTGACGTATGATCGTGGCTCCACATCACATGACGTCTGGTTTAACTTACCCCGCCGGAAATAAGCTGGTCCGAGGTCTGGTTGGGCACAAGCCACACAACGCACCAGCCACACGCGCCCCCGCCTCAGCCACCGGTTAGTAGTAGGCCGAGCATCGTCTACTTGCACCCGACGTCCCGCGGCCATGGTAGCTTGCCATGTCTCGGATTCCGCCATGGACTGGCACGGAAAGTGGAAAGCAAGGCATATTTTTTTTCTCTTCATCTCCATCTTGCACAGTGGTGCTCGATTCTTGTCATGGAGGATCAAGTGGACGAGCTGGTTGCGTTGTCCAAGTACCTAGGGTACTACAACAGCAAGTAGGTTGGTTGTCGGATCAGCGATGTTTTTTGTCATGATGACTTGGCCCGAGGTTGCCCATTGCTCCCAAGCATCTAGTTGGTCGCGTGCGAGGGGATCCTGCATTAACGGAAAAGCAAAACGAGGTCCGGTTCCGGGAATGTTGGTGTGTCGTCCATCAGCCTCGGAAGGATGTTGAATCAAGCTTTTTCTCTTGACTTGTACCGTTGCAACACACACCTTTGTCCCCATTGTGGTTGTAGTTGCCCAGACCGTAGGTGGCTAGTTTTATACCCATCTTCTATGCCTGGCTTCATTTCGGACGCAGTATGTCTGGTAGTGTAGAGCAGACTTTGGGCGAACGGCCCGGTCCGAAGAAAGAGGATGGTGATGCAGGCACGTCAGATGGAGTTCAGGTATCGGACCGAGAGAGTGAGACCGATGTCGACGCACACGCACACGCACACGCTCAACAGCAAGAGATATTGGTAGTGGATGAGAAGATTGGCGAGGAAAAGGACCGCGCAGAAGACGGGGTCCAGCAACTGCGGGATTCGAGAGATTCAACAATCTCAACATCGTCGTCTCGTGCATCAACAGCGTCGGAGCATTCCACCTCCACCACCACCACCACCGACCACCACGACCACATCACAGCCACCAGCCAATCACCCCCCAAACCACAACCAGTATCTCTCTCAAGAACATCCACTGTTCCCCCAGACCCCATCCCCATCCCCCGCCCCCACCGCCGCGGCCTCCTCTCCCACCTCACCCTCATCCCCGAAATCAGCCAGCCAACACACTATCCCCGCCCCACAAAATGGCTCATAACCTCCCTCGTCGCTCTCTGTGCCATGGCCGCCCCTCTCGGCTCCGCCATCGTCATGCCCGTCCTACAAGACATTGCTGTGGCCCTGCACGCCTCGCATACAATCACCAACATGTCCGTGGCCGTGTACATGCTCAGCATGGCCATCTTCCCCCTCTGGTGGAGTAGTTTCTCCGAGCGCCTCGGCCGTAGAACAATCTATATTGTCTCTTTTGCCCTGTTCATCTTGTTCGCCGTGCTCGCCGCCCTGTCGTCTAATATCGCCATGTTGATCGTCACGCGCACGTTGAGCGGGGGCGCAGCGGCCAGCGTGCAGGCCGTGGGCGCAGGCACGATTGCGGATCTCTGGGAGCCCAAGGAGAGGGGCCGGGCCATGGGGATCTTCTATCTCGGTCCGTTGTGCGGGCCATTGTTTGCGCCAATCTTGGGGGGTGCGCTGGGCGCGGGGTTGGGGTGGAGAAGCACGCAGTGGTTCTTGGTTGTGTATGGCGGTGTTACGTTGGGGCTCATCGTGTTTGCGCTGCCTGAGACGTTGCAAAGGGGGGAGAGGGATGGGGTTGAGAACTTGCAACAGGGCATCGCAATTACGGCCAGCAGGAGCAGCAGTACACCCTACGACCCAGAAAACCCTCCAGCAACAGCAACAGCACCAGCACCGCCTAAAGCCCCCCACAACTCAACCCCCAAACCCCATACCACCCTTACAACCCACCTCCGCCAAACCCTCCTCGACCCCCTACAAATCCTCCTCTGGCTCCGCCACCCTCCCATCCTCCTAACTGTCTACTATGCCAGCATAACTTTCGGCTCCCTCTACATTCTCAACATCTCCATCCAAGCCAGCTTCTCACACGCCCCCTACAATTTCTCCACCCTCATCCTCGGTCTCCTTTACATTCCCAACAGCGCGGGCTACCTGCTTGCCAGCTTCTTCGGCGGCAGATGGCTGGACTGGATAATGGCACGCGAGGCGCGTAAGGCGGGCCGATATGATGAGAGAGGTAGGTTGGTGTTGAGGCCGATGGATCGGATGAGGGAGAATGCGTGGGGGGCGGCGGCGGTGTGGCCGGTTGCGTTGATGGTGTATGGGTGGACGGTTTGGGCGGGTGTGATTTGGATTGTTCCCATGGTGGCTAATTGTACGTTCTTTTTTTCTTGATTCCACTTGTTGTGTTCTCATCGTTTTGCTCACTTTAATCTCTTCATTTCCTTTCCCTCAATCACATCACCTGATGCCCTTGATTCAACCTTTCTAATCCACCTCTCAAACAACCAAATCTAACTTACCCTGTCACCACAGTCTTCTTTGGTGTCGCCTCCATGTTAATCTTCGCCCTCGTCTCCACCATGCTCACAGAATTCCTCCCCCGCCGTGCCGCCTCCGGCATCGCCCTCAACAACTTCGTCCGCAACATCTTCTCCTTCACCGGCGCCATGGTTGCCGAGCCCGTCATGAGCGCCATAGGAAACGGTTGGCTGATGACGATTCTGGGGGTGTGGAGTTTGGTGACCGGGTTTGCAGCGTTGGCGGCGATGCGGAGGTGGGGGGAGAGATGGAGAGTGGAGTTGGAGGGGGCGTTGGGATAAGGAGTTTGGTGTGATGGGTGGGGGTTGGCGATGGGGTGGTGTTTTTGATTGTTGATTTGAGCACGGTTGGCGGTTGGGTTACGCTTGGGCAGATGGGTCTGTCTGCGATGTTGCATACATAGTGTGGTGTTTTATGTGATCATTCATTCAAATTGTCATTCCTCGTCGGGGCAACATTGAAAGAGCTCTCGCGCTCATATGACGACGGGGTATTTGCTCTTTGCCCGAATCGCGCGGCCGTACTTGAAGAAGATGAAGGGTATGGGTATCATGGCCAGCGCGAGGAACCCGAGAAGCGAAGTTGCCCAGCCAATACCCAGGGCTTCGTACACTACACACAGTCAATACACACACATAGTCCACGGCCATAAAGACCTCTCTCAAACTCACTCTGCACTGTGAACAGCGGAAAGATACCACCAAGTGTATACCGCGCTATCCCATTCGCCGCCATGGCCGACGCGCCGTACTGAAACCCATACACATCCGTGAGGTATAACGCTGAAGACGCCTAAAACACGCACATATATATGAGCGTTTAAACCATGGCACAATATCCATTCAAGACTTACAAACAAACACACATTTCCCCAGGCAAACGGCACAGCACCCAACAAGGTAATCGCCCAATGCACATCCCGATCCGCACACCATCCGAACCAGAACAAGCCAACCACAACCCCCGTGCCCCCTATCATGGCGCTGTAGAGTCTATGCTCGGGCTCAACGATTTGCTTGCCAGCCGTGATGGCGTGCTTGTATTTGCGCTGGTAGACTGTGCGGTCGATGAGGATGCTGGTGAGACCGCCGAGCAGGACACCGATACCGATGACGATGAAAGTTAAGCCTGCTTGGGATTCTGTGAAGGAGTAAGGGGGACGTAGGAAGATTAGAGGAAAGGCGGGGAAGAGAAGGAAGAGAACGCCAAAGGTGAAGGCGTTGTAAAGGGAGAAGAAGATGACGACAGGGTGGGGGTGGAGTTAGCATTTGTCAATTGTAGAGAGATTAGCTGTGCATGTACTTCTGTGAAGAGTAGATGCAGAGGTTGGGTTAGTCGGGTGGCCATGTCATGTAGTATTAAGGGACGTGGGGGCTTGACTGGAAGAGAGATTCCGGCTTTCTTTGCCCGTCGTGCAAGGATCACGGGTTTGAATGTTTCTTGCATGGGCAGGCCGGCGAGGGTAATAGCGAGCGTGATGAAGATCATACTCCACTGAGTCCACTGCCAGGATTTGTATTGGGCGATGAAGCCACCAACAACCGGGCTGCAAGCATGAGTGACCGACAATCATAGTTAAGGGGATGAACTTAATCCACTCACCCTAACGCAGGCCCAGCAAAAGGCGCCATGAGAAACAAGCTCGTCGTAACCGCCCTCTGATGCGGAGGAAACAAATCCGCATTCGTCCCCGCACCCACAGCCAGCCCCGGACTTCCCGACGCACCGGCAAGCAGGCGACAGACACACAGACTTGCAAAGTTCTTGGAGAATCCGGCGCCAAGCGTGAAGAGCATGAAAATGGGCGAATGGACCATGTAGATGATTTTCCGCCCGTAGCGTTCACTCAGGGGCGCGGTCAAGATTGGCCCCAGGGCGAGACCAATGGTGTAGACGGTCAAGCCTAAGAGCGCTAGCGTTCGGGAGACGTTGAAGTCGCGCATTATGTCTGGCAGTGCGGGTGTGTAGACAGAGGTTCCAAATGTTCTGTCCTCTTCTTAGTAAGTGGGGTTTCAGGCGATGGCTGGACTTACACGGCGAAACCGAATAAAGCGGGGATGATGATGTGATAGGATCGTTTCCATGTAGACCAATTGTGAGGGTTGTCCATGTCATTAGTTCCAGTCCAGTTTGTCGCTATGGGTGGCTGTTTCGTGGTCGTCGTGTCGAGTGTTTGTGGTTTGACACTGTGAGTATCTTGTGGAAGAAGTGATGGTTGCAATTGTGAATGTCCATGAGAAGATTCCGTGGAAGATTTCTCGCAAAGACGCTGATGATTCTCACTAGCTCCCATCGAAGCGTCGACTGGTTGTTTTGAAAGGTGAGACATTGCGTTCGATGCAGGATGGTCAATGCTAGAAAGTGGTCTAATTGACATTCAACTACCACTGACGTCTCACGATGTGACAATATATAGATCTTTAGCATAAGTAATGAGAACCTCGGCTGCCAGTTACGCCACCGAAGATTGATTGAGATGGTGGCATGGCTTGCATGTTAGAAGAAGTCTACGATGAAGCATTGCACGCAGTCGTCTGGCCACGCAGTGTACTATGTCAGTAGGCTGGAAGGTTGGTTGATGCTAGTATGTGATTGGCTGTTGACGCTTACCTTGGGTCGATTTGATGTTTACTGATCACATCAACCGAGGCCGGAAATAGCAACTACGTATGGGGCAGAGGTTAGCAGGTAGCTCCACGACTCCATTTTCTGGCGACTGAGCGTGGTTTGGGGTAGGTTGGTGTGTTTGCTCCAATCCTTCCCGAGGAGAGCTCTACAGTATGCGTACTGAACAGCATCCGTGCCTGTTATCCTCACCAATGTCATCCCGTGAAAGAGAGCAGAACATCTGTGTAAGAAGTACTGTGCCCTGGAATTAGCTGTGAACAGTTGCAGGCCTGGACATGGCCCAAAGTTGCCTAACGCTTCGAGCGCGGTAGAGAGGATCAATGACGTCATCAGAGCCTGGGATGCTCATGATACAGAGTTAGTAGACTTCAAAGCTCGTAACTGATAAATGCGCGCTTGAAATCAGCCATCAATAATAGCCCTATGTGCGGCAAGAAATGACGAAGCTGTGTCCCAGCACCCAGGTCAGATTCACGGTTTTCCCTTTCAGGCTCAGGCCTTTCACTTGTGAGATGCAGTTTACTCTCGTGGAGATATGAGTCATGTAATAGAATTGAGGTGAAGAGTTGTTGACAAGGTAAAGCGAGATAGCTTCACTAATATAGGAAGGTGGACATCAGAGAGCGCTCGCTGGGGGCTGCTATATTGAGCCCCAAAAGACGTGCTGAAAAGAGACAAGCAAGCATACACTTCCACTCAGCCAAATATCAAAGCCCTAACCTCGATACTCTCCCTCCCCACAGCGCCCTCTGGCGTGCGAGGATCCTCAAAGGCAGAGTGTGGAACACGGCCCGTCTTTCTGTACGCCTCATCGCTATCATAGCACTTCAACAGCAAGCGGTCCTCATTCGTCATGCCAGACCAGTAATACCATTTTTGCTCGGGGTTGTATCTCACAGCCGCCGTCTGACCCGTTCGGTTCGGGTAGCGATGCTCGATGGGCACCAAGTCCTCGTCCTGGACGGTCTGGCTATCGGCCACGGCCAACGGGAGGCCCATGACCGGGCCGTTGAGTGGGCGCCACACGTTGATGATGCGGTAGCGACCCTGGAGGAGTTTTTCTGCATCCTCAGGCGCGTGCAACTTCACGCGTTGTTCGGCGGAGAACTTTGTCTGGTCAACGTGGACGCGGCGGACGGGGTTGCGGTTTCCCGTGGGTCGGCGGATGGTGTAGTCGAAGAGGATGACTTTTTGTGCGCCTTTGATGTTCTCGAGCAAGAACTGTTCTACCTCGGGATAGTAGACTTTGCGTATGCGCTCGTCGTCTGCAAAGTCATGCTCTTCGCTCTTGATGTTTTGGTATGTGTCGAAGCCGTTGTCGTCGAGGTTGAATTTGTGCTCTCGACCTCTGATGTCCTCGACTGGCACTTTAACCCAATTATCGACCCAGTTGCGTTGGGGGACGCCGGGAAGAGGCTCGACGTAGTTGTAGGGCGCTGAGCCGTCTTCTGGTGCCTTGTAGAAGGAGAGGTCGGCGGTAACGGGGCCTCGTGGGATAGGTAGACCCTGGAAGTTGACATCTTGTGATGTCTGAGGGGCGGAAGACTCGGGACTGGACAGCTGGTGTGCCGGTGTGGGATGGTTTGCGGTGGTTGTCATTTCGTCCTCTCGTATGTGTTTGGCCCTTCTAAAGAGTAGGTATACAGGTACGGTATGTATCGGATGAGGGGAATGGATTGTTAGCTAGTCTGGGTCAATTGGTTTTAGTGTAAGCTGTGTTGACAGAGTCAAGCGTGATCAAGTTGGCTCCGAGCAGGTTATATATACAGAGGATGCGATTATAAATGCGAACGGTCAATGCTTAGTAGGTTTGGACTGCCAACTGGCCGTTGTATGTCGTCCGACCATGGAACCGACGCTGACGGGGTGGCGGTTGATTGATGCTGATGATGCCATGGCCTTATTTGCGGCCAAGCTTACTAATACCATATCCAATCAGAGCCCAGCAGCTTGTAGCTGACAAAACATCCACGCTCCATTGCCATGTCTACTTACAACCATGGCTGACTACATGCTCAGTTCGCGCCATGGTTGTCATATCACGTGGGTATAGTCTGGGTTGGTGAGGGGTTGATTGATTGATTGATGTTATTCAACGTCTATAGGTTGGTGAGGGGCTTGATTGATGTTATTTAACGTCTATATAAAACCTCCCATGGGGTATGAAGGGTTGGTGAGGGGCGACACTGCGCATGGCACTCTATACTGTCTACCTAGAGTACGGTATCATCGCTTGTACCGGTAGGTACGGTAATGGACGGCGTTGTGGCATGTCGTCATGAACCCATAACATCGTCAAACAGGCACCACACGTCACAACACCATCAAGATCATGGGCATTCTGGAAGTAGCATCAAAGTTGGATGAATCGATTGAAGAGCTTAAATGCTGCCATTCCATCGCAAGATAACGTCAACAACGGGGCAATCGCCGTGACCAATGCGGAACCTGTTGACTTCGCAAAACAAGCTGGCGCCGACGTTAGGTAGGGACCGGCAGCACTTCTCCGATACATCGACGCGACACACCATCACGGCTTCAACATTGCAAGGCTGATGTCACTCAAGCAAGACGGGCTTCAAGATATGCCAAACAACATAGGCGCTGTGCCATTTCATCTTTGATAGGTTGTGTTCTCTGGACCCTCTGTTTCCCTCGCCATGCACTGTCAAAACGTCATCATGTCGCGCTCATAACAAAGCGACATCGTCCATCCGCCATCAATCGACATAAAGCCAGCACGACAGACAAGAAAACCTCAAACATGCTCCGACTCTTCACACGATCCGCTCAATTGACCACTTCTTCCCTTCGAACTCAATTCCTTCCCAAAACCACATACCAGTTCACTAGAAACATGGGCAGCGGAAAAGCTAGCAACGACGAGCTCAAGGGCTCTAAGCTCTTCGACGTCTCGCACATAACAGCACTCGTGACAGGAGGTGGGACCGGTATCGGGCTTATGATCACACAAGCTCTGGTTGCCAATGGCGCCAAAGTATACATTACGAGTAGACGCGACGAGGTACTAAAGAAAACGGACGAGCTCTATGACAAGGGTCCAGGACAGATCATTCCTTTGCAGGGAGATGTTAGGTATGCTTCTAAGTTGAAGAAACGCGAGAGTGCAGGGCTGACATACCCACAGTGAGAAGGACGACGTCAAGCGTTTGTACGATGAGCTCTGCCAGAAAGAACCCAATGGCATTCAACTACTGGTCAACAACGCTGGAATCGCGCGTGACGATGAAACCAAGTTTTCGAGCGCTGGCCAACCCAATATGGAAGATCCCCAGGCCATCTCCGACCACTTTCTCAAGTCGCAGCCTGAAAACTGGGCTGCCACCATGAAGACGAATGTCGGCAGCATCTACTGGATGTCTATGACCTTCTTGCCCCTACTTGCCAAGGGTGGCAAAGTCACACCCGGTTACTCATCTCAGATCATAAACGTCAGCAGTATCTCTGGATACATGAAGGGGTCCAGCTCCGGTCAGTTCGCCTACGCATCGAGCAAGGCCGCGGCCACCCACCTTGGCAGGATGCTGGCAACGACATTCATGGGTACTAAAGTCCGCGTCAACACCATTGCGCCTGGTGTCTTCCCGAGTGAGGTATGCGTGTTACGTTGTCCTACACTACCCGTCTTACGCTAATGTTTGTCAAGATGACTACAGGATCTTCGGATGAAGACAACAAGAGCGTAATCAAGAGTGAGATGTCGAACCCGGCCGGTCGTCCTGGAAAGGACACCGACATGGCTGCGACTGTACTCTTCCTAGCTGGACCAGGAGGTGTCTTCTACAATGAGCAAGTATTGTATCCAGACGGTGGTAACACGCTTTCGCAACCTGCTGCTCGAGCTTAGTTTCATTTCACGAATGATGCTCTGAGGCAGGAATAGTATAAGTAGGAAAATGACGATAATTGGAAATCATATTCGTAACAGAAATTCAAAATTGCCAATCGTGGCGAAAGTTCTTTTTCTGATATCTCGTCGAGCATTCTCCAAGTCACATGTCCCACGAGAAGAAGACGGTTGGTAATGTTATACTCGGGTGCCATACGAATTAGCTGGGAGACGCATATTGCGCAGCAAAGTCCTTGTAATCTTGACGAATAAACAAGGACAATCCCTCTAACTCAGGATAGGGTTGTGTTCCTTCACTCACGTGGTAACTGCAGACGGTGCAACTCACCATTCGAATGCGTGCACGCGATGTCGCTCAAAAAATTTATAGCCTTCGCATCCATGAGCTTGATTCTCTATTGTAAGGCTACTGCACCTGCATCGTACCGGTATACCCTGTTTAATGCAGACTACGACGCAAAATAGTTGTGGCTCGTCTTCATCTAGTCGAGGGTCAGAGTCACGTCAGTGCTGGGTCCGATACTTGTTAATGCGAAATTTGTACATGAAAGCACCCAAAGCGTGCAAATGGTTCGAACTCAAGACAGTAACTAGCGAAGCGCTGTGGATCCCAGAGGGTTTTCATGGTTCAGTTTGCCAAGCCATCGCGGTTTTCGTTATTGTCAGGGGAGGAGGACGGCACGGGCGGTGAGTCGGTGACTACCTACATCATCACAACACCTTCAATACCAACAATGGCGCTGTGCATTCCTGATGTCGTGAATTAGGGGGTATCTAGTAATTATGAAGCATCTATACTTTGCTGTCTTGGTCTAAGATCGCCTCCATCTACAGCAATACCACTAGTAGATTCCATTATACCTACTCAACCTCATTTTTAGGCATCCCACATACCCTGCCCAGGCTAAACAGTAGCAAGCCGCATAGTCCCAAAGATAGCCCTTCTAATTCCGCTAAGCATCTAGACTTTACGCGGAAAGCAACTCCTTGTCTGCGATTCCCGCTTGATTGACCTATGCAATGTTGTGTCACAGGCCTCGAACTGAGTACAAGGCTGCATCGAGCCGCCAAGTTCAGAAGCGAGATAGGACTCTATGGTACCAGTGAAGAGGCTTCCACCGTTGCCTGATCGCGGGACGCCTGGTCGGGGTCAAAATATTCGCGATGGCCGTGGGCGAGACGACAGCTCTGTCGACCACCTCTTGCACTACGCACTCATACACTCGTTCACATACAGTGGAAAGCCATCATGGCTCTTCCCTACACTCTTTTGAAATTAATAATAATTGCGACAGTAGGAAGCGCACAGAATAATTATTACTACGAGCCATCTACTACCTCCCACACCCCGGCTTTCTGGACGGCTACCACGCGCCTTGTTGATGTCTACACAGAGTCGCCATATACATGGTACGAAGGCAAGGTCACTACGGATGCCTTCCTGACGACACGCACAATCAAGAACAGTGTCACGCCAACAGTCGCAGCTACCTTCACGACAACAATTTTGCAGGGCCATGAGGATGTGGAACTGGTATATCTATACTACCCTACTGGGGCAGTCGCCGAAGCAGATCTTCTACCAGAATCATTGTCTGTCAACGGGCTTACGCCGACTACATCTTTGACTACAACAACGATGACGGTTTATGATTATTATATGCCTGTGACAATGACCGCCCCATCATCGTGTCCCACAATCTGTGAGTAATTCTTCAGGCTTTTCTTTTTCTTTTTTTTGCCTACCAAAGATGAAAGTCTCTTCAACAATCCATCGCCATACTTGCTAATTAATTCGCAGTCACAGTCACAAGCGTAGCATCTGTAGACATCCCCAGGGCAGCCAGGGCGCTCGTCACCCCTACATCTACTGTAGCTGGTGCGACAGTGTCGGATCGATATGGCGACACTACCGTCAGTGAAACTTGGTACCTCTCCAGTGGCGCTGCACCGTTCCCGACAATGGATGATTATAACTATTATGCATACATTGAATCATGCTACACACCACCGCTACCTTACAAGACCGCTTCGCCGACGCCTAGTTCCACCACAGGCGGCGGCCTCTACTACGATCCAAATGATTCGTCATCATCGCCAGGCAACTCGGACAGTTCCGGTGGATATGAATGCTATTGGGGCCCTACAGGATGTCTGTCAACCGAAGAGATCATCATTATCGTCTGCTCGATAGTCGGTGGTTTCTTTCTCCTCGGGTTCCTGGAATCGTGGTTTTGGTTCCGCCGTCTGATGCATGGAAGGAGGGCCATGCGTCTTGGAACTGTCTGCTGGATTCTTACCACACTCATAGTAGTATGTGTGACTAGCATACAGGATAAGAGGACCAAAGAAGACCAAATAGTTCTGGCAGAGAAATGGAAAGAAATGAAGGCTGGAGCCAAGTTCAAGGCTTGGATGAAATATGCGTTTCGCCATCGATACCCGGAGGAATTCCTTGGCCAATTTTCGAGAATGACAGTGGGTATCGTTCCACCTGGCGAGCCACTACCAGTACCTCCTGCAATGAAACAGCCACCCCTTGGTGTTGTCCCAGGCTCACAGGTCTTTTACTATGGTCCGAATGGCCAACCTGTACCATTGCAAGGTTATATGGTTCCCGCGGGACAACATGCAGGATACTATGGCGGCGAGATGCCCAAGCAGGCGATTGTCATTGGCACTGTACCCCTTTTCCCACGTCACTCACAGCCAGTACATTCTTCATCACGAGGCGCATTCAAAATGACAGGTGCTTTACCGCCACCCACAGTTTCCGGTTCAATACCGCCTTCGGAGGCTCCTTTGCCTCCTTTGCCCCCACGGTCTACTCCTTCCGCACCTCCGCAAGAGCCTGTTGAGTCCAACATGTCCATACAGGCTCCAACTTCAGCACCGCCAGTGCCGCCAGTAGCGAAATCCGTAGCTCCTCCAGAGGATACAGAAGAAGCTGCCCAGACCACGGCCGAACGAGAGACTTGTTCAAATGCAGTCACAGACAGCACTTCCCAGATCTTAGCCGTTCCGCAAAATCCTGCAGCTGTACCACACGAAGTCTCCCCAAATCCAACCCCAGGAGTGCAAATTGCTCCTCAAGTGCATCCTGTAGATTTGAGTGATCCATCTGCAATCAATGCAATAGGGAACACTGAACGGCCATCAGATCCGCCGTCTCCAAAGTGCGAACCAGATAAAGAAAGTCTCTACAATTAGGTATGCGTCGTGCAGGAAGGCAGTAGTCGAAATGATGGTTTATCACTGAATGTTTTGGAAAATTGAGCTTCTGTATCATATACCCCTGTCTTCATTAGCGTAACCGAATTTTGACCACTCCTAATGAGAAATGTCACATATTGTCTAATACAGAATCTCTTATTTCTAAACCGAAATTTCTGTATTATCACTACATTCTGCTGACTATTCATCATCATTCTTCTTCTGGGCTGCCAAAGGAATAATATCCAACTCTTTCACAGCCTTAGCCAATTGCTTGAGACCGTCGATGGGCTTTGTCGATAGTACCCACCAGCTATACGGGTTTTGGGTATTCGGATAGTACACTAGGACCTGGGCTTTCGGGATTATCTTGCCTTTGGCACGGCCGCCCATGATGTAGATTTTGATATCTTCCTTGCTGAGGGTGGGGTATTTCTCCATTAGGGTGGCTGTAGGAGTGGGTTAGCTTATATTGTAGCGAAGAAAGGGGGAGCGGGCTTTGCCTTCGATGAGTTGGACAACTGGGATCTCTTCATCTGAGAATGGTTTTGCCTTCACAAGAGTGTCGGCCTGGGCTCGAGTCATGTCGGGCTCATTTCCGTACAATAGACGGTCAATATCTACGCGGTCGGCCCGGGCAGCGGGACCTTGTGGTGGGTCCATTGCAGTGTGGTGCGAGTGGACTCGTTTATCAAGAGGGAAATGTCTTGAGAGATGGTGTAGGGTTCTGGAAGTTATCGGAATCAGCTAGCTTGTTAAGTTGTGAATATCTGGTGAGATAGTATGGAGTTCTGGAAGTTCTGTAGTGCGGGCTTTATAGTTGAAGGTATACTCATATGTTTAGCTCGTGTACCGTTGATGATGAGTCGAATGTGTTGATTCACGCTTTGGAGCTTACACAGAACTTGGACTTGCGAGTCTGAGTTAATATTCGGCGTCAGAGTTGGTATTAGGATTCGAGTCAACCTCCATATCAGGATTGTTGTTTGTGACAGAATCGATATTTGCGTCCGATTCCACACATTATCGTCATCTTTGACGTCCAAGACAGAGCCATCATCCATAGCAGAGTCAGCAATTGTCAACAGTCAGCGTACGCATTGACCTAATAACATAAAAACTCATTTACTATAGTGACAAAAGAACTTGTGATGAGCACAAATCCAATCTTCCAATCTGAGTACCAAGGACAATACGCCATTTCAATTGAGAAATACAAGCAGTGATAGTCTATAAAATAATACACCTGTGTGCTCCCGTTTGCCAAGCAGCAATGCCCATACACACCGCTAAAAATTCTCCTGATGAAACAATTGAAATATAGCAACAAATCATTTCCGTCTTCACCAAGCTACACCCTTAATAAGCAGAACCTTTTCATCACCAAACCCCTGAAGCAAACCACCGCGTCGTACGATCTTGCTCTTACCGCATGACGTCCCCTCATCTTCGAAGCACACATACACTTTAATAGTAACGTTGGATACAAGAAGACCAGGATATTACTCCCGAGCGGAGATTGTCTGTCACTACATTACGGACACGCAGTCCTATATTTACAATGTTGTCCTCGGCATCCCCATCGAGAGGTAGGCATATCCAGACAACAGTACATCATTCTCAGTAAGATCTGAACTCGTGACATAACTATCGTTTTCCCATGAACGGATACGCAGTCTTGATACAATGACTTCATTCGTAATTTCAAGCCCGCGCAACTGCATTGTCAACTACATTAAGTTGAGAATTAACGAATACTATGCTAATATTCTAACGCGCGTTACCAGCATCTACCTTAGCACGAATATCATGGCCATCTCTCATACCCTAATGCTACGACTCACAATCCCATTCTTGACTCTTAGTCTCCTGATCAATGGTACTCGAGCACAGATGTGCGCAGACATAAATTCAATCGGCTGTGTCAGTGGATCCATGGCCATCGTCCGCGTGGTGACATGAACCCCACCTCCAACAACCCCAATCGCATGTATGGCTACGAAAGTATTTGCTTGGACCTTCATTATGGCAATGCGTATTTCTGAATGAATTTTCGATTGTGTTTGTAACACAGTTCACACAAGTTAGAATAGCTTTTTACCCAGAGGTTTCAGCTTCAGGGGAAGATGCATACAGTAGAGGTCAATGGCACTACCAGTGCAGCATAGACAATTTTGAAACTTGCAGTGCATGTGAGTTGTTGGAATATCGGGGGTATTCACATATAGGAGTGGGGGTGTATGTAAGCGATATTGTGCGATTTGATTGTTGAGCACTACAATACCTATTCCTAACCCCGCACTATCACTAGAAAACCACATCTAAATCTCCCTCAAACACATTAGCTCACTCCTGAGCAAACCATCCTTGTCTACGCCCTCAAACCCCCGTCGTCCCAACCACCACCGTCTCACCTTCCTTTTCCCCCTTTTCCCCCACCACCACCCCGTCGACCAGTCCGTCCTCAAAAAACCCATACTGTGCCTGCATTGCCTCGATACCTCTGGCGTCCAAGAAGGGTAGCTCCTTGGCCGCCTTGACATAGCTCATATGTTCAAGATGGCCCTTTGCAAAAATGAGGTCGATTTCCTCAAGGCTGCGCTGCTTCGTCTCTGGGTAGAAGAGGTAGATGAAAGGCAGGAAGCAGGCATTTACGACGGCGAAGAAGAGGTAGGTGCCCCAGCCGATGTTGCTGATCATGATGGGGGTGATCATTACGATGAGGAAGTTGAAGAGCCAGTTTGTGCAACTATTGTGGGGGTTAGTTGGGGTTTGAAAAGGGGAGGGGGGAATATAGGATGAGAGGGGAATGGGTGTGTCTAAGAAAAGGAAACAACATACGTAGAGACAGCATTCGCCTTGCCCCGCGTCTTCACGGGATTAATCTCTGCAGGATACAGCCACGGTAACGGCAACCATGTGGCCGCAAAAAACGCTATGTACGTGAACAAGCCCACGGCAGCACCCTTTGCCGCACTTGCCGTCCCCGGGATCAGTGCAGCGAAGACGAGGACCATGGAGAGACCCTGGCCATAGGTTCCAATGAGGAAGAGTTTGCGGCGCCCCGTTCGCTCAATAATGAACCAGGATGTGGTTGCGAAGATGGAGTAGACAATCATGTTGACGCCGCCGAGTAAGAGCGAGAGATCGTGCGACGCACCAATGGAGTTCTCAAAGAGAAGGGGGAAATAATAAATAACAGCATTGCAGCCTCCGATTTGTTGCATGAGTTGCGAGGAGGCGCCAAGCATCATTCGTCTGAAATGCTGGGTTTTGCCATTGCTGAAGAGGGCGCTGAAGGGGGTGATGCCACCCTTGTGGCCGGAAGCACGAATACTGTCCATGATGATGTGGGCTTCGAACCGGGTCTCTTCGTCGTCTACACCATAGCCACGGAGTGCAGAGATGACTTTTGCAGCGTCTTCGTGGCGGTCCTTGGTAAGGAGCCAACGTGGGGACTCAGGCAGCCAGATCATGCCAAGCAAAACGATAAGTGCGAAGAAGCATTGAAAGGCGATGGGGAAGCGCCAGGAAAACTGGTCGGAGCCGTAGGAACAACCATAGTCAATCCAGTAGGCGATGAGAGTACCAAAGGCAATGACACCACCCTCGATACAGATGAGGAGACCGTGGTTCTTGGTGCGTGAGCATTCAGCCTGGTAAGTCGGGATGGTGGCCGTGTTCATACCGTTGCCGACGCCGGTGACCACACGGCCGATGATGAACTGGGCGGTTGCGTTGTGCCCTTTAAAGGCAGTGACTTGGATGACAGCACCGAGGATCATGACACCGGCCCCAATCAAGATGCCCTTACGGCGACCGAGCGCATCGCCAAAGACCAGCATGGCAATGGCGCCGAATAGACAGCCGATCTCGTAAATTGCGGTCACGAAGCCTTGCCAGGTCGAGTTATTGTAGGTCTCGGGAAAGTAGCGCATGAAGGGCTCGGCTGAGATGATGCCAGACATGACGCCCTCTAGGTGTTGTGCGTCAGCAAGTGTGCGTCATGGACTCTTAAGTTCAATGCTGGGGAAATGCAACTTACGATCATAACCAAAAAGCAAGAACCCCGTCGTCGCAATCACCGAAACCGACAAATCCAGCGCTCGGCCTCTCATCCCCATGAAGCGGGGCTGGCTCGCAGCCAAAGCTGCATCCGTGCTTGCCATAGTCGTGATGCGCTCACTGCTCGATACAAAAATCTATCAGGGATGTTTGCGCACGCCGTGCTCTCAAAACCACAGGTATTCTCAACACTCAATCTCCAAATTAGAGCAGACGGACAGAGAAAAAAACTGGAGAGATCAGACGAAAAAGCGGGGTGTCATCCAGGTTTTAAATTCTCCCCCCTCCAACTCCCCTCGGTATTTTTCTCTCCCCAGGTTGGTGGTTCCATGCTGCATATTTTGTGTTAGCCTCACAGTATGATCCTGGTAGACGTTGCAATCACCTACACGGGTTAGTACCGTACTGTACCTAGTCATACAAGCTAGCAACCTGAAGGCCAACAGCCCTGTACCTACTACCCTACCACCTCATTTGTTTGCCGCCCTCTTTAACAAGAGCAGGAACTGTAAGATTTAGTCAGCGCTAAACGGGATGATACTCCTGCCCTATCCCGATTGTGGCCTATACTATATTATTGTATATTGGGATATCGGTTGTTCTGTTAGGTCTTGGGGGAGGGGGGGGGGTCCTGTGTACTTGTGCAGTTTATGTGGGTACCATTGATGTGTGTAGGTACAGGCAGCAGAATGGGCGATGGATGGATACGGTTAAAATGCTGCGATTTGAACACACCAGTATTGTAGTAGGTAGATCGCAGGATTCCCAGCTCGATCACACACCAACATACCATGTAGTACCGGTACAAGGGGGGAAGCATGAAAGGACTGCTAGCGCCAAAGGCCGGTACACACATAGGTAGACCGATCGTCATAGTCATGTGCCTCACCCCAACACCAACACCGACCCCTGGTCCCTGGTCCCTGGACTAGAGATATATCACATACCCTACTATGTACGCTTTCTTGCACGCGTGTGGAATAGAGTCGTCGAAGGTTACACTGCCAAGCCTAGTAGTTGGATTAACGACCCCCGCACCCGTCCCCCAGCCGCTCCCCCGCCTCTCTCCCCGCACCTCCGAAGTTTTACCGGCTAGTTGGGCACGTGTAACGCCAATTTGCAGCCTCGGCCGTTGGATATTGTACGTTACAGACCCCTCACCAATTGACCGCTTTCATTATACAGTGTCGAACTATGCGTTACACTTCTTTCTCTCTCCATACTAATACCCTCGCCGCCCAATTCGCCCATTAATGACCGGCGCCAACCCAAAGATGAACCACGGCAGATCTGGACCCCCATCGCCAAATCCATACGGCGCATGCGCTGGCACTCAAGGTAGGCCACAACTGTAACACACCTCCAACCATCTCCCACACTTCTTGTACCCACTCCTCAGCTGGCCTGCACCAAATTGAATCGTTCGCAAGAAGACTCGGAAACCGAAGTCGACGAGTCGAAAGGGGTGTGCCTCGCTAATCAGCTGCGAAGAAGCTCTCCCTTAACACGAGTTCTATGGAGAGAACTTGACAGAAGACTCTGATGTTGACACAGACGAGCTAGAAGGCCTGCGCCCTTTAGTCGAACTCCAGGGATCCTCTCCCGAGCCCCGGCTTGTCCACCCACCTCCCTCTTCCCTCCACAAAGACACATAGTCCTACCCGTCCAAGGTGCCGATCCTATTCTGACAACACCGCACTCCCGTCCAGCAGGAGATGACGCCAAAGCGAGTCCGCATTGTACTTCGCTAGTAGGGACTAGAAAGTACATGTCGTACGTGGCAGCTATATGGATAGATACGAAGGAAGTATCAGCGCCGAAAGCAAAGCGCTTTGCCAAAGGCTTATAAAGTTGCCACAGTCGCCACCGAAAGACACATTATCCGACGATGAACTGTTCGAAGATACATTGGCATCAATCAAGGGCAGAATCGAGACTAGAGTAATCCGTGACATCGCGCAGCTCATTGTTCCTTTTGCTGAAATTCTGGCAATGCGCGGCGCTAAACACCTGAAGTCTCTTAGAGAGACTACCAAAGCTGGTTGGAACAATGCTATTCTCTTTTGCCGGCCACGCCCTCAACCAGACTATAGCCTTGGATTCAAGCGAGAAGCGTTTACCCAGGAACAACTACAGACGCTTTAGCCTTTTATTGGAGATGAATTAGAAGATTAATCCTCCTATTTTGCGGCCACGTACTACATGTACTTTCCATTCCTTACTAGCAAAGTACAATGCGGAGAATCCGTGCTTGACATTGCTAACCGACAGAACGCTCACAGTCAGACTATCGCCTTACGCGGTTCACTAGCGCTTTTCCAGCTCGTAGGTCGGCAGCACGAGCTCAATCAGGAGGTCAACAGCTTTTCCATTTCGCATAGCGATGCGTGCGTGAAGATTTGGGGATATTATGCTGTTATTCACGGCCAAGACTTTTCCTTTTACCGACATCCCATTGCAAAGTTTGACATTTCTAGAACTGAGGATATTTATGATTTATGGGTTCCTGGGCACTTTTTGAGGATTTGTTACGTTATCGATATGCCTACTGCTGATGATCTTGTGAATCAGACGGCGTAGCTGAATTTCGGATTCAGTTATTATTAGCTCCGAATAACCTGGCGTAGCTGCTTACATAATGGGGCAGTATAGCTTTAGCAGACTGTCCAGGTGAAGGTAGCGATTGTTTTGGTGTAAGGGGGTTTATAACATTCTCTATATAATTGTCGTCGCGTAAGCCCATCATAACTATCTTCTAGTAATCCTCACCAAACATGTACTACACCAACACCACCCTCGATACCTACCGCGATAGCCACTTTGCTATCGCGATATAGTATTACCCACCTCCATATCCACCCCGATACGACAATATACTGATTCTACGCTCGATACTAAATCTACCGCACACATCACCACCTACAATCACCACTTAACTTGACCTAGAACTCAACCTCCCCTCGGAACACAAGTCCTGCGCGTTCGAATTTGTAATGTTCACTCACCAATCACCAATCATCAATCTCTCAATCTTTAATTTTCAATTTTTCAACCTTCAATCTTGACAATCGCTTACGCTATCAGCAAC